GAGAGAGAGAGAGAGAGAGAGAGAGAGAGAGAGAGAGAGAGAGAGAGAGAGAGAGAGGGAGAGAGGAAGAGAGAGTGCTGAGGTGTTGTTGTTCTTCTCTTCCTCCCCCTCCTGCTCCTCAGAGAGAGAGGTAGAGAGATCGGTTATGGTGTGTTTTTTTGGGGATCACTCTGCCATACAGAGATGTGATTTCATTCCTATTTTTGGGTGGCAATTTTCAGTATGAGAAGCCTGTTTGACGTCTTTAAAGTTTAAACCTTTGACAGATTAAAAGAAAGGACGGAGATGATCCTGTTGTAATTGCCATATCTTGAGTTCTTCTTCCTCTTCTCCTTCTTCTTCCTCATTTCTCGTTCCTCCCTTTGTGTGTGTATGATTGATTGCACAGGCATTCTTCGGTCCATTATCTCCCCCCACCCCACCACACCCCCCACCCCCTGTGTGAGTTAGTTGATTATCTGACCACATTTGATTCTGAATGATTTGTGCATGTACTCAATTTGACTTGTGCATGCAATTGATTCTTCTTTTTTGATTCTTCTTTGATTCTTCGGTCCATTGTATTCAATTGACTTGTGCATATGATTGATTCTTTGGTCCATTGTATTCAATTGACTTGTGCATGCGATTGATTCTTGCGCTCTGTTTTTCTTTGCACACACCTGTCGTAGGGTTGACCTTTTGCATCCTTGCATGTCAGACCTTTGAGCGGACATGCAACAGTGCGACAGCAGCTGAGGCTTGGCTTGAATGCTGCACCCTGTTGCTGGGAGCTTTAAAATAATGCCACGACGCCAGTTTGCACAGCTGATGCTCATCTGAAAAATGGGATGGTGAGGGATCTTGGCCTCTTGGCAAAAAAAATAGATGAAGTTCACTGTATCTGTTCTGGTCAGTTTAATACCTGATACCCCCAGGACCCACCCCCCCCACTGGCCAGAAAAAAGAGGGGACTGGCTTTTGCGGCATGAAACGGGTGCGCTGGGAATAAGGTTCCTTCCCCACTTTTTCTATTCTCTCCAGCTTCCTGCTCATGTATTTCTGTGTGTCCAGTTATGCGGGCTCTTTCTTTCCATCACAGAACAACATGCCGACGAAACTGCTTAGGGATTTGAACTTGTAACTTGTCAGATGATTATCTTTTCACCTTTCGAGTTTCTTTCCCCCTGTTGCCTGCTGACCCCGGTCGCTCTCCTGCTGCTTGTGTTGTGTTGTGTAGGTTGCAGCGTCAATCACAAAGCTGGAGAGGGACCTCGCCGCCTTGGAATCGGAAGCAAATAGTCTAAGGGCGCAGCCAATGAGCTGATCACGACCTCGTCATTTTTTTGCCAGCCACCCTTACAGGGGCCCATAGGAGGTACAGTTGTTCAACTTTTTTGTTGGTGATTGCAGCAGTGCGCAGTCTAGGCGCTTTGAGTCAATGAATGAACTTTTGAACAAAGATGAGAATCGGTTAGTGGCGCTCCACTCCACTGGGTCCACCCCATCATACCTTTTTGCCGTGGGGTTTCCTCAGATTTTGCGGAGGTCCTGAAGAGCTCTCACTTGTGGGCATAACTACCTTCTTTTCCCCCGAAGGCAACGTCCGGTCATTATAGCTGTATGGATTTGGGGCATCTTTCAGTCTAAATACTAAATAGTAAATACGGCTATAATGACCGAACGGCGAACGTTGTATATCAACGGGGGAAAAAAAGGTAGTACTCGCTCTCAAACTATGCAAGGATTTCAATGTTTTTGTGAATTACCTACCTTCTGCACTCATGTATTCCATTTTGACTTGCCGGGGGAATAGGAACCGGACTGTTGCTGTTGGGAAAACCCCTCACACTAACTAGCAGGGACTCGAGATGGGGCAGATGGGTGGAACGCGGAATATGGCAGATCAAACATATCTGGGATGATGAAAACAACCGGTGGAAAACGGTGAGGGAGCTGAGGAGAGCATTGAAAGGGTGCCACAACCTTCACGACAACCTGAGAAGAGTCACAGACTCCATACATCCATCCTGGGTACTCTTGTTGAGGGAGGGAAAGCAATGGCGAGAGGGAGATTGGGCCACATGGGAAGATGATCCGGAACCTAAACAGGTCTTCAGGGTGTGGGACACGGACAAGGATAGGAAGGAATGGCTAGTAGCTGACAAATATGACATAATACAGCCCAGCAGTACCACTTCCCAACTGGACAAATCTTCCAAAGCACCACTGTATATACTCAAACAAGGCCTACAGAAGGTAAGAGTAATAGAGATGGATGAGTATACAGTATATAATTCAGCAGTTCCTATCGAGAGTCTAGAGGTCGACCCTGGAGAATGGGCCTGGAACATCAGAGATGGGTAATCAAGAGTAGCTAGAAGAATCAATATTCTCCAATATACTACAAAAACGGGGTACAGACTGAGGAACAGATCCAGATCCATAGGTCACTCCCTGACCAAACGCTGGGAGAAGAAAGTAGGGGTCCCCAGGAGCCTAATGCCTGATATACCTTGGTCTAGCATCCTATCTATTAGAATGGGTCAGGTCAGGAGTATGCAATGGCTAATAGCACATGTGGCACTACCGGTGAATGTGTGGCTCRACGAAAGAAGAAGTCATAACCAGAGGAACGAGGAAGCGGAGCTTTGCAGAGTGTGCCAAGAAGGGCTTCCGGAAACACTGGTACATTGCCTGCTAGAATGTAAGGAGGCAGTAGAAATGTGGGAACAAGTTAGGGGGATTTGGAAACAGGTAGCGACGATAGCATTCCCAGACTCAAAGATTACCATGCTTTTGGGGGAAGGGGTTCCCAAAGGATGGCAGCCCTACCAGCGTCACATCTTTCAACTGCTGAGACAATATGGACTGTGGACCATTTGGAAGAGGAGATGTCAGGCCACTTTGGAAGGAACACTAATTCATAGGGAGGAAGCTAGGGAGCTGCTCCTCAATGCAGTGGAAACACATCTCTACGCGCAGTGGAAAAAGGTGAGACAGCAAGCAAGACAACAACCTGGTCAAGAGGAGGAAATAATCAAAAAWTTTAAACGGAATACTTTGSGGCAGGGGAAAGTGGCARAGCCCAGAGGCGTACAACTTCGCTTCAAATGGAGAGAGGAGCAATGAGGATATCAGGGATCGGAAATGGGGTAGGGCTTAAGGAAAGAGAGGATAACTATCCTCCTCGTCTTGACTTGCTACCCTCAGTGGCCACGGTAAACAGAAAGGTTTTGGTTTGAGTTCACCAGTAAGACTTCCCTCAGGTCAAATGGACGTTCAAGGAGGCTGCAGGCGCACGGGAGAGAGTCTGGGGGGAGACTAAGGTTCAGTTACGGGCAGATTTTCTAGGCAGCTGGCAAAAAGTTCAMGAGTACAGGGACAGATGAYGAAGAGAACCRGAAGAAGGCTAGTGACAGTTCATCAAAACATGGTGGGCAGGGGGGAGGTTTGCTGAGTTGAGAAATGACCCTAGTTGGGGGAAGGAAGGGCACAACTCCATTTCAAGAAGAAATCTGGAACAGTAAAGCACAGTTTCAGAGAATGGACTCAGTTCCTAACCGAGACAGCWYTGGTCTCGCTACACTACTCTTAAAGTTCAGCGGTGGTGACCAGGACTCAAATGGGTAACGCAGGCGAACAAGTGAACCAAAAGGGYCAAAGCAGGGAGTACCAGAGCTACGGGGGAGGCGACCCTTGAATGGGAATGGCTTTTCGGGGTGCAGTTAAGATGAACGAGAGTCTAGGGTTCAGGGGTTAAGGGTGGCTTAGGCAAAAAGAAAAAACGGGTGGAATGGAAAAGGGCTCGGGTTGATGACCACAAGGGAGGGACTCTTTCTAGGGTTCAGCGATGTAACATGGCAGACCTATTCGTTCGGTCTGAGAGGAAAGAGAGAGGATGGGCAAGCTGGCAGTCAATCCTTCACCGAGGTGGAGCAATCAATGCTGTCCAGGGGTCCTTCGGCCAGACGGAAGGAAGCGTGAGTGACAAGTACTTTTGTAATGATTATTTTGACTTGCCGGTGGAATAGGAACTGGACTGACGCTCCCCAGAATAGAAGGAGCCAGGACCGTAAGGCCCTGCCTGTTAAAAAAAAAAAAAAAAAAGGAACCGGACTGTTGCTCCCCAGAATGGTAGGAGCCAGAGCCGAGAGGCTCTGTCATTAAAATTAAATAAAAAATAATAATAAAAAAAAAAAGAAAAAAAAAAGTTACCCTCTTTGGCTACTCGTCTCCTCCTGCTCAGTTAATCCACAATTTTTTTGGTTAAAAGAAGGTAGTTCTGAGGGCAATCAATGCTGGCAGGCGGTCAGGAAATCTTCAGATGGGGACCTCAATGGCTTTTTTGTTAAGGGACGCTGGACCCGTTTTCCAGCAGGTGTTGCTCCCCACCAATAGATGGAGCCTCCCCGGGGGAGAATGAGGCGTCTGCTCATCATACCAGCGCCCCTAGCCCTCCCAAACGGGCAGTTTTCTGCCAAAAAAAAAAAAAAAAAAAAAAAAAAAAAAGTTTACCACCAGCTTCTTGCGCTGCTACTTGGCATTCTGAATCGGATGATGTGGCATCGAATAATTTCTTCAGTGGATCAAATTTTTTTTGATGCTCTGGAATCTGGATGGAACATTGGGCAGGTGTTGTCAGGAGGGCTTGATGGCATCATGTAAGTGGGAAGAGCTTTCCAGACGCTGAGGGTGTACTCATATCTTGCCTCTAGGTCGTCGACTCTTGGGCAAACATGTAAATGACGTCGGGGTCTTGTACCCTCACCAGCGTGCCATGGCTTCGTAACTTTACTGCAGACGCTGTCGAGGAAAGGTACACACGACACACGGCGTCTCTGCGTAACCCTCCTGCAGACGCTATCAAGGAAGGGTACACACGACACACGGCGTCCCTGCCTTTGCCTAACCCTCCTGCAGACACTGTGTCTGATACATGCACCCTGCCGCTGTCTGTGTGATACAGTTTCAAACCCTTCAGAGTGTGAAGGCACAATTGATTAACTTTTCTTTTTTTTTTCCTCCTTTTTTTTTTTTTTTTTTTTTTTTTTAATCACATTTTGTATTAATAAAGCTGGAAACTGGGTCCAGACTCCAGTGTGCCTTACATCAGATGTACTGCATCTCCCTGTTATGGCCGAGAGATCCTGAGACGTCAGTGAAAGGCCTTCCACGATTCAGACCCCAAATTCGGATCTCAGGGTCAGATGCCCAGGTCAAGAAAAGGCCGAGTTCGTCAAACTCAGAAAAGTCACAATCGGGTACCTCAGCAGTCTGGTCCAACAGGCACCCAGCAAACAGTCATATCTCGGGGACAAGAGTCACGTCTCATAATAAAAAGCCACTCAGAGGAGTCACATCCCACGAGTGAAAAGCCAGACTCACAAGCAAGAGTCATGTCTCAAAGGCAGTAGTCACGTTTCCTAATGAAAAGTCATATTGAAGAGTCACATCCCACGAGTAAAGGCAGTATTACAGGCAAAAATCGTGACTCACAGGCAGGAGTCACTGTCCACAGTCAAAAGTCATGTTCACAAGTGAAAAGTCATGACTCAAAGGCCCAAGCAGCAGCAGTCAAATGGAAAATCGGGAAGGTTCCAGGCCTTGACATGCAGAAGCAGACAAGCCATGGGGATGTGGTACCGGAACCAGTCAGGACTCAAGAAACAGAGGCTGGCACGAGTTGAAGTGCAAATCAAGACTACAAAAGGACTGGCCAGCCTCACATTCGGGCAGATTGCTCATTCGCAAGTAGTGTGGAAGTGCTTGTGCACTTGTGCGCTGATGTGAGGGGCAGACCGCTGAAGCCAGTGCTGATCTGAGAGAGAGAGAGAGAGAGAGAGAGAGAGAGAGAGAGAGAGAGAGAGAGAGAGAGAGAGAGAGAGAGAGAGAGAAGGCAGCCATAGCTGCGCCAGTGCAGAAGTGTTAGTGCTAGTTGTTTGTAGTAGACTCCAGAGGGGTTAGTAGAGTTGACAGTGGGTGTATTCAGAGTAGATCTTGAGTAGAAGTTAGTGAGTGTGCACGCAGTTAGGGAGAGAAGACACAGCGAGGACAGAAGACCAGAAAAGAGAGTAGTTACACGAGAGAAGAGCAGAGAAGAAGAGTTACTTACCTGAGAGTTCATGCTGGTTTTTGGTTACCTGTGACATGCGCTAATATGCGCTGGTGACTCGGAACTCTTATTGCTCTTGTAATAACTTGTTTGAATTTCATAAGCTGCGCTACCTGGTCTTAATCTCTCTGGTTCTTCAGTGTGAATCTCGTGTGATCTCATACATGCATATGGTGATGGAGTGCGCTCAATGGTGTTGAACTAAGAGGTTCATTGCAAACTGGTATCGGAGCAGTTGCTCGTTACACCCATTGGGCATCGCTGGCAACAATTAAGGCCGGCGAGGAGGGAGGTAAGAGAGTGAGTTGAGTGGAGAGACGACTGACGAAGGGGGGGAAGAAGAAGGCCGAAGAAGAAGTGGCTTGATTACGTACCTGTTGCTGCTGCATTGGAGCGTTGGAGCGGCTGCGGAGCTTCATCAACGGAACGTTCATTGGAGAGAAGTGTATTCCCCCCTTTAAACCTGTATTGCTTGCTGACTTGTCTTGGTGATTGGAACCTCCATTATCCTGGTGTCGCTGCTGCTGGCCTGGTCTAAGTTGTCACACACTCGGTTGATTGGAGTTAGCAACCAGTCCGGTTTTATATATATATCGTCAAATAGAACTGCCCGGTAAACCGTAGGCAGAGAGGGAGAAGAGGACAACAAACGAGGGGCTGTGACAAACTGTTTCGTCGGAGTTTCACCGACTCATCAGGAGGCTGAACCCTCAACAGTCTGTAGAATCCCCATATATATATATATATATATCGTCACAAACAGAACTGCCCGGTAAAACCGTATATATATATACGTCACAAACAGAACTGCCCGGTAAAACCGTAGGCAGAGAGAGAGAAGAGGACAACAAACGAGGGGATATATATATATATATATATAAAATAAAATAATACGAATACTAGTAATAATAATAAAAGTGCCTTGCTCAGCCCCGCACCGCTCTGATGGATTCCATTTCCGGCCTATAATGGAATATTTCGTTTTTTTGTTTTTAACCAAAAAAAAATGAAACAACTTCTGTAATTTTAAAAAGAAAAAAACACAACAACAACAACAACTGACCGTCTTTTTCGCCGACTCATCTGACAGTGATGATGCCAGTTTCAGTATTTTGCTGGCCTCCCGATTTACACCTTTCGCCCCTCTCTCGAGTTTCTTTGCGGCGCCGCTTATCAATGACGAGCCGGAGGTGAATCTTCGCCTGACGATTCTGTCGTACTCTCCTTGATTGATCTGCCCGACAGCCAATGTCACGACCTCGACGCCCTGGGTGACCGCCTTAGCTGCCGACCTGATGAGTTTGACAGATGCAAGAATCTTCTCAGCTCGGCGCGCAATGGCGTGGCCGGATAGGCCTCCTCCCCCTCCTCCCCCTCCTCCGGCTGCTGCTGTTGCGGCGGCCGAGCTGATGCGCTGGATAGAACCCTCAACTGGTCCAGATTCCGATCCGGACAAGAGAGGACNCAAACTGTTTCGTCGGAGTTTCACCGACTCATCAGGAGGCTGAACCCTCAACAGTCTGCAGAATCCCCTCACTGATTACACTGTAAATGATAATCTACCTTAACCAAAATCAAAGTAGACTATCACTCACCCACACCAGATGGAAAATATATATATATAAAATTCTGGGGAGGTAATCAGCAGTCAGCAACAGTCAGACCCACTCGTGAGTTAGTAGTTAGTAGTAGGGGTAGGTCTAGGTGGTGAAGAGGTGGAGGTTAGGTACCTGTGCCTTTGATCACCATGGATGACTATCCTATGTTCGCACTTCTGTCCCTGTCAGTGCTTTGGGGACCACTCCTTCGTTTTGTCTTTCCTCTTTGGTTCCAGAGAACCCTCTTTTCACATGCTGTGCTGAGGTCTGGGAAGTCAACTCAGGCCCAAACAGCTGAAGAGCAGGCTGAGATAAATCGCCGCCTAGCCGAAAAGAAGAAAGAAAAGGAAGAAAAGATAAAGAAAAAGGAGGAGGAAGTGAAGAAGAAGTTGCAAGAAGAAAAAAAGAAGTTGGAGAAGGAGATGAAGGAGAAGAAAAGGAAGTTGATGGAATAATTAAAAAAAGAAAAAGAAGAAGAAGAAGATGTGGGAGAAAGTTTGGAAAGAAGGAGAGGTCAACCACGGGCGGAGCAGGCTGAGAGCAGTCGAATGGGTGGCATACGAGTGTGGCAGTTGGAGGCAATGAACTGGCTAGGCCAGTTTGGATTTCGGGAGGAGCTGCCAGCAGAGAGCGAGGAAGAGAAAGAAGTTTTCCTCAAATTATTCTCTGAAGTGAAGGATGAGGCAGAGAAATGGTTGTTGGTGGAGGAGAAGAGAGCAAGCTTGCATAATCGCATGCTGCTAGAAAGGAGAAAAGAGTTTGATGAGAAGAAGAAGATGAAAGAGGAGGGAGAGAGATTACGGCAGATGTTGCAGGAACAGAAAGGGAAACAAGTTGCAATAGAAGAAAGACTTACCCTCCTCACTGACACCCTCCTCCATACCAATGATCAACTCGCTGTACTTCATCAGACTGTAACCAAAGTAGAGGCGCAGCACTGAGAATTTGTTGATGCTTGGAATAACTTTCTGAATAATGCCTCGCCGCAGATTGACTTGCGAGTCCGCGATTATGTGGAACAATTAGATGAAGCTCTCTGCCAGAGACTTAAAGACCCCGCCGTGATTAAACAATTGAAGATCGGTGGCGGGGGAGGAGATGGAGGCAATGATGGAGATGATGGGGATAAGAAAGGGAAGGTTCCCAAGAAGGGAAAAAAATAGTGAAGAGGAGGAGTCCAGGCAAAAGATGAAGGTGAAGTTGCCTTGGACTTATACGGGGAAAAAGGAGGAAAGCATCTTCCACTGCGAAGCGGCTATGAGAACATACCTGTCCGCCCAAAAAATTCCGTATTGGGACCGGGTATTAATGGCAAGTTCTTGTATGGCAGGGGACGCAATGAGTTTCGCCATCTCTTTAATAAAAGAGGCTGGCTGCATAACCATGGTTGAGTTCTCTCAACAGATGCGGATTAAAGACTTTTTCAAAGCCCTTAGAGAAAGGTTCGAAGATAAGAACCTGGCCCGTAGGACTGAGTCTTTGATTCTTAACATTAGTGACCGTAAATGGAAGAGTGCGTCAGCCCTCAAGGCCACTATGGATGAACTGTTGCAATGTCTGGATCACGGACTGACACGAGCACAAATGCTGGATAACTTCGCTAGAGCGCTCCCTGATCCTCTAAAAACATAACTTTATCCCTGTACTAAGGAGGAAGGAATGACATACGAGAAGTTTAGTAAGATCGCCGTAGATCACATCGGCTTCTTGCAAGAGGCACAATATTGCCATTATTGGAAAGACCTTGCAGACCGACAAGAAACGGAAAGACCGGACGATCTCAGGTAATATAGCAGGGAAAGACAACCTATTGGTCACCTTCGAGGAAGGAGGTGTAGAGTCCCTTACTTATGACCAAATAGATTATAGATTAGAAAAAGATAGCAATGGTCACTTAGCCCAGGGAGGGGACTATGCGGCTGTTGCAGCCCGCGGGGGAGGGCGACAAGGAGGAAGAGCCCGTGGCAGAGGAAGAGGAGGCCGCGGTCGTGGTGGAGGAAGAGGACCCGCCGCCCAGAGAGGTAGTGGCGAAGGAAGCTACTATGTGGGAGGTAGGGGCAATGGTCCCTCGCAAGGTGGAAGAGGTTCCTACTCCACAGGGGGAAGAGGAAGAGGTAGACGGCTGTACCCGAAACACCCAAGGATAGCTGAAGGCAAACCTTGGTTAGAAATGGGTATAGACGAAAAAGTTTGGGAAAAGCGTCATAAGGCTGGACAATGCTTCAAATGTGGTGACCCCGACCATATTGTTCCCTTTTGTCCTGATTATAGGTACCCAAAAGGGAACGGCCAGTAGAGGTTGCAGTTGCCTCTATAGGGACTCTGGATGCAAGCATACCTTCATCTTCCCATCTAGAGGTCCCAATGGTAGAGACTAAGACCCCCACCTAGTTAGTTGCCCATAAGTTGCTTGTGCTAGGACTTCTCTAGGTGGTTCCCTCGCAAGCATAGGTGATGAACTGATCACTTGTCGTCGCGCTTGGGCTGAAATGAAGAAAAAAAAAGGGCAGTTATTAATTGTAGACGTAGAAGTGAGTAAAGTAAGAGTGGGCACGTTAATAGATAGTGGGTCAACGCGCACTCATATTAGCAAGAAAGGGCTGCAGAAGATGCGCCTAGGGCTGAAAGTTCAAAAGTTAGACCCGCCTGTCGTAAGCAAGCTATCCGACAATAGAGAGATGGTAGTGGATAGCTATGTTGAAAGGGTTAGGGCATACTTCCGGTTGGAGGCAGGGGTTAAGACGGAACGTGTTCTACACTCCCTGACACTCTTAGTGGAGGACAGTCTCCCTTTTGACATGATTCTAGGAACAAATTGGGGTGAGGCCGCCAATGTAGATGTGAAATTGGGTGAGCATGAGTGTTGTTTGCCTAGTCCTACAGGTGGAAAGAAGAAAATTCGACTTTACCATGCATTTGGCGTAGAAAATAACCTAACCCTTTGTTGCATGAGTGCCCCCGCGTTCGCCCGACATCTGGTCAAGAATGACCTCGCCGACCAAGTATTTGTTGCATATGTGCGCCCGGTGAGTGAAGAGAAGAAAGAGGAAGAGTACCCCCCAATGTGCAAAAGTTGCTTGTTGAGTTCGCTGATGTTGGAGAGGCCCCAAGTGGAGTGGTTGAGAGAGAAACCAAGCACCGGATTGAGTTAGAACCCGGTAGTCGGATTCCCAAGGGCCCTATCTATAGGATGTCTCCAAAAGAACTGGATGAGCTGCGAAAGCAATTAGACGAGTTGCTTGAGAAGGGGTGGATTAAACCAAGTTCCTCGCCATTGGGTGCACCAGTCTTGGTTGTGCCAAAGAAGGGCGGCGAACTGCGAATGTGCATAGACTATAGGGGATTTAATGCGATAACCATTAAGAACGCGGAACCGTTACAGGGTTGCAAGTATTTCTCTAAGATTTATCTGAAGTCTAGATACCATCAGATTGAGGTATTGCCCGAGGATCAACACAAAACGGTTTTCCGAACGAGATATGGCCACTATGAGTTCGCGGTGATGCCGTTTGGCTCAACTAATGGCCCTGCAACCTTCCAGAGATGTATGAATGAGTTGTTTTGTGATTGGCTTGATAAATTTGTTGTTGTTTATTTCGATGATATATTGATTTTTAGTAAGAGTCTGGAAGAGCATGAGGAGCACCTTCGAATTGTGCTTAGTAAATTGCGAGAGGCGAAATTTAAGATTAACCTGAAGAAGTGTGAGTGGGCAAACGTCAGGTCCTTTACTTGGGATATATGGTAGATGGTGATGGGATTAAACCGGAAGACGCTAAGATTGCAGCCATTAGAGATTGGCCCAACCCGCGCACGTTGACGGAACTGCGCTCGTTTCTTGGTCTGGCCAATTATTACCGCAAGCTCATTCTGAACTTTACGGTAATCGCTGCCCCATTGCGCAGATTGCTAAAGAAAGAAACAGTCTGGAGATGGGATCAGGATTGTACTGCGTCCTTCTTCAAGCGTTTAAAGGAGTGTTTGATTAATTATCCGGTGTTGAAAGTTGCAGACCCATCTTTGCCTTTTATCGTAACCACTGACGCCAATCAATACGGGATTGGTGTTGTACTCCAACAAGACGATGGGAATGGGTACAGACCTGTAGAGTTTGTCCTGTAGACTGCCTAGTGAAAAGGTCGCCGCTTCTACCTATGAGAGGGAGTTGTTTGCTCTGAGGGAAGCGTTGAATCACTGGCGACATTATCTGCTAGGAAGCCACTTCAAAGTTTATTCGGATAATGAGACACTTCGCTGGCTAAAAACCCAGGCTTGGATGACACCTAAATTGACTAGGTGGGCTGGGGAGATTGATCAGTTTGACTTTGAGTTGAATCCGGTAAAGGGTAAGTACAATGTTGTCGCTGACGCATTAACTTCTTATGTGCCATTGTCACATCCTTAGATCAAGTTAGATGCAAGCACCGAGCTGCAGGAAAAGATTAAGTCTGCCTACACAAGTGATCCAGTCTATAGTCAGTTGATTGGCAAGGTGCAGACGGCACCTCACGAAGTTCTGGACTATAGAATAACACAAGGACTGCTGTTTGAAAAAACAGATGTCTATGACCCACTATGTGTTCCGAGCAGCGAAGAAGTCCGCAGTATTATAACTTGGAGAAAACCACGATATTGAGGGGCGCTTCAGATGGAGGAAGACTTATGCTAACCTCCTACGCTCCTACACGTGGCCAGGAATGAAGCATGATTGCATCTCCTATGTGCAAGGCTGTCAAGTTTGTCAAAGGAACAAAAGTTCCACACAGCCTCCCCTTGGATTACTCCGACCACTACCTGTTCCGTCGGGACCCGGGGACTCCGTGTCTATATACTTTATGGACACTAAGATAAAAAGCAGAAATGGAAAAAGTCAGGTTACGGTTATAGTAGACCGGTTTAGCAAGTTTGTTGTGCCACTTCCTGGAGAAGCAAGAACTGGATTGGTGATTAGGGAATTCTTTAACCATTGGGTGAAAGATTTTGGACATCCCTTGACTATTGTAAGTGATAGGGATTCGTGGTTCACAGGTGAGCAGTGGCAGCAACTAATGAAGGTATACAGATCCAAACTGAATATGTCTTCAGGTAGACACCCTGAGACAAATGGACAAACTGCACAGATGAACAAGCTGCTGCAGCAAGTGCTGCACATGTACATCCGGCCAGATCAGATTGACTGGGATGAACATCTGCCAAAAGTTGCAAGTGCCTATAATAACTCTGTGCTTCTAGCTACATCTAGAACACCGACTGAACTGCAACTTGGATGGCGCCCACGCAGACCCATTGATTGTCTAAACCCTGATCAAGTACAGAGACTTCCGCCAGGAACCAGGGAATTCGCTGTCCAATGTCAGAAAGACCTGGAAAAGGTTAAGGAGAACATTAGTAAGGCACAGCATCAGATGATAGAACAGGCTAATAAGCATCGCTGACCTTCGCAATTTGCTGTAGTTGATCTAGTCTCGGTGAAGTCAAGAGAGTTTCTCCCTGAGGAGAACATTTCTCAGAAGTTATTAACTGCTTATCGAGGACCCTGGAAGATTCTTGATGTGATTGGTGATGTTGATGGTCCTTCCTATGTTGTTGAGATTCCTCCACATTTGCACACGTATCCGGTGTTCCACGCTTCAAAGTTATTTGCCTTGCGTTAGTAATGACATGTTTCCATCACGCAGATCTATGATTCCCCCTGATATGTATGGTAAGTATGATGTGGATAGAATTGTTGGGGAAGATGTTTACAAATCTGGACGCAGGGGTAGACCACAGCGACAATATAAGGTCAGATTTGCCTATCAAGAACCTACAGAAGATCGCTGGTTCACGAGAGATGAACTAATAGAAACAGCACCACATATTGTGTCATACTATGAAAGAGCTAAGAGAGGAGTTAACGTAGTAGATAGATAAAATTGGTCATTTTCTCGGAGGACCTTGAAATTAGGCCGGCGAGAGTGAAAGGCCTTCCACGATTCAGACC